TTTAATAGATTGTTAGTGAATAATTAATATTTTTTAATTATAAAGATGACAATTAGCTTCACTTTTTACATTGGTGATAATTAGTCAATTTTTTATACATATGAAATATATATTATATATTGGCATTTTTTTGTTAAATGGACTTCATGTATCAAATATGATATAATAAATATAAATATATTATACAGTGTTATTGGTTAAGAGGAAAAAAATTAGAGTGTATAATTAAAGTGCCCTCCCTAAATAAAATTCTTACCTCCAGATGACATATGTTAATGAAGCTATAATTTATTAGAAATAATCTTTGTTATTGTATTTTGTTATTATTAGATATATATATATATATATGAGAGATGGAAGAGTGTGTGTTTAAAACGTGTGAGAGATAGCAGAGAGAGTATGAGATAGAGGGAGAGAGAGAGAGAGAGAGAGAGAGTCGTATCAGTTAGTATGAGATAAGAAGAGAGAGAAGAGATGAGATAATGTGTTTAAAATGTCTAAGAGATAAGAGAGAGATAGAGTTACATGAGAGATAAGAGTGTTAGAGTTAAATCCAATTATAATTGTCGGATCAGTATTTTTGAGATGATCTGAACCGTCTTTTATGTTGGGATTACGTTGTCCGTTAGATTTATTTATGTTTTGTCTCAAAACGATCTGGACCTCTTTTTATCTCTAGAATTTAAACTTCGTTTACTTTATTATATAGATATATATATATATATAGAGAGAGAGAGAGAGAGCGAGAGAGAGAGGGTATGAGAGATGGGAGAGTCTGTGTTTAAAATATCTATGAGATATATATATATATACGTATGAGAGTTAGGTGTATGAGATAGAAAAAGAGACAGAGAGTTATATGGGAGATAGTAGAGAGAGTATGAGATAGAGGGAGAGAAAGTTGTATCAATTAGTATGAGATAGGAAAAAAGAGAGAGGAGATGAGATGGTGTGTTTAAAATGTCTAAGAAATAAGAGAGAGATAGAGTTATATGAGAGATAAGAGTGTTAGAGTTAAATCTAATTATGATCGTNTCTTGCAATCAATTGACAGTTAAAAAAATTTGAAGTTCTATTCTCTTAATGAAGTAGTTTTTCTTCTCACAGAACTCCAATTCCATGGTGTTTTGGATGAATTTTCTCCCAATATTACTAAATATTGGTGTCAGAGATACATTTTGTTCTCCAAATTTGATGATGGTATAAAAATGGATNAGATTTGTTTATGTTTTGTCTCAAAACGATCTGGACCTCTCTTTATCTTTAGAATTTAAATTTTGTTCTACTTTATTATATAGATTTATGTTTTGTCTCAAAACAATCTGAACCTCTCTTTGTCTCTAAAATTCAAATTCACTTCTATTTTATTTTATGTATCTATATAATAAAGTAGAACTGAGTTTGAATCCAAATACAAAGAGAGGTCCCGTTCGTTTTAAAACAAAATATAAACATATCCAACGGATAACAGACAACGTAATCCCAATATAAAAGACAGTTCTGATCATCTCATAAACACTGATCTGACGGTCATAATTGAACTTAACTCTAATACTCATATCTCTCATATAACTCTCTCTCTCTCTCTCTTATCTCTTAGGCGTTTTAAATACACTATCTCATCTCATATCTCTTTCTCTATATCTATATAATAAAGTAGATAGATTATTTGTCTTTAGCTTTTCGCGACTCAGATCGTTTTGATCTGATGGTCTTAATTAGACTTTCATTTTTTTTACAACTCTAAGTCTCACATATAATTTTCTTTATCTATCTAGCTATCTTACACACACACACACTCTCTCTCTCATACTATTATCTTTTTTCTTTTTCTTTTGTGTTGTTTTTGCTATTAGTTACTCCATAAAATATATGAAACTACATGTCATCCAATTATTTATTCCTTAAAACTAATTCAAAATTTTTATATATCTGACCGTATGTATTTTGTCACTTGCTTCTTAATTTGTAAATAATACTGAATGTAAATAAAAAATAGCTCATTTACTATAAACACCAAATAATATTTAACATAAAATGAACCTTAGATTGTAAATTAATATATATTTTTATCAAAAATTGACACTTAATTTTCTCTAATTTATATTCAACTTTATCGAATATCAAATTAATATTAAAATTTATTTAATCAATTTTTTGGAATACTAATTTATATCAATTTTTTGAGTACTAAATCAAAATTTTATTTTATTTTATTAAATTTTTAATTTTTTTGGTACTAAATTTGGAGAAGAACAAATGTAAAAATAATAAAGTTTTTTAGGATAAAATTATCAATTTTTGTTTACAACATTGACAAAAGGGAGACATAGTGGGTCTCCGTGCAATGAATAACAAACCTCAAGGGTCTCCGTATTATTTATAAAATATCATGAGGTGTTCATGTAATATTTCAAAAACTCTGGGAATATCATGATTTTTAGTTTTTTTCCCTATTTTTTTCATTAAACATTAATATATTATTATTTTACCTTAAAAACTTAAATTATTGTATTTCTAATAAAAGCAATTATTGGTTATAAGAGTTTGTTAGTAACCAAAAAAGAAATATGTAAGTGTGTTTTTGTATATATTTACATGCGGAGGATTGAACATTTAGTTATTAAATTTATAATTATATTGTGTCATTTGGGGTTGAATGGTGATAGTGAAAATAAATTTATGAGTTTATAAATGAGCAAAATTTGGTTGATTTTATTTACCGTTTAAAGATTGTGAATTTAATTGTATTATATATATATATATATATATATTTTTTTTAATTTTTTTTTGCTTGAGGTATTTATTACATGGAGATAGGATGAATTGAAAATATGGTAGTTGAGTTGATAATTATGTTGTGTTATTGGATGAAGTGGTAGTAGAAGTGAAAATTCGTAAGTCTTATAAATGAGCAAGATTTTATTTATTTTATTTATTATTTAAAGATTGTAAATTTTAATGGATTATATTAGTATTTTTTTTATAGGCATTTATATATATGATGTTATTTTGGAGAGTTTTTATATATTTTGAAGAGTTTTTATATATTTTTATAACAGTTCCATTAATATGGAGGATATAATCGATAATATATTTTGAGTCATTTTAAAAGAAGAATTTGTATGAATATTTTTAGGCCATTTCTTTTGAATTTGGATAATTGTTTAAAAAAAATTTATTTGTTGTATAGTGCCTTCAGGTACGGGTAATGACTATTATATATATATAGTAACATTAAAAATAAAAAATAGTAACATTCAAATACAAAAAAAAAAGTTATCATTTAAATACAAAAAATAAAATAATTTAAACACAAAAAAATAGTAACATTTAACATAAAAAAATTAGTAACATTCAATATTAATATTTTTAAAAAATAACAATAGTAACATATTCAACAAAAATAGTAACATACTTAATAAAAACAATAACATGCTAAACAATAATTATCTCTCTGATATCTATCTATATCCATATATAGAATAAAACTATATATATATATATATATATATATATATAGTAACATTAAAAATAAAAAATAGTTAAATTCAAACTCAAAAAATAATACAATTTAAACACAAAAAATAGTAATATTAAAAAAAAAATAGTAACTTTGAATATTAATATTTAGAAAAATAATAGTAGTAATATATGCTCAACAAAAACAGTAACACACTTAAAATAATAGTACCATGAAACATTCAAGCCTAAAAAATAATAATATTTTTAAACAATATGTAACATATAATCGACATGATAGTGGATAGACAAAAAAACAGTAACATGTTCAACCAAAAAAAGAAAAAATTTGAACAAAATTAGGGCAAGTACTCGATACAAAGATAATGAATATTTGACAAAGATTTCAAAGTTTAATTTCTCAAAACTTTTAACAAAGTTCAAAACTGCCTACCTAATCCACCAACTTTTCAAAAGAGAATTAATGATCCAACGATCCACCAGTTTTTCAAAGGAGCTTCTTGTGCTAAGTCGTTGAATCCAACGAATCCAAATACACACATAAATAAATAATATGAAACAACAATTTGAACTTTAAGAAATAAAGAAAGAACAGACAAATGATTTTTTTTGAAACCTTAACCATATTTGCGGAGGCGAGTGAAAAAGATCTTCTTGTGTTAAGTTGTGAACTAGTTTCTCGATGGATTTATCATCGTTTGTAACAACGACGATGTCGCCACTAGCTGGCTAGAGAGAAAGAGGGAGAGATTTTTGAATTTGAATTTTAAATTTATGATGGAGATTTTATTAGTATATTTTAATTGACATTGAATTAAGGGATAATAATTTTCAAGATACGAAATTAATTTAATCTCCTTTCAAAGAAGGGTAATTTAGAGTTTAAAAAAAGTAGTGGACTTAACTATTTATTGGTAAGATAAAAACGGACTTATTCTCAAATAAATTTTCTTGACAGACTAAACTCATTATAAGTCCCTTGAGGAAGACTCAACCATAATTTTCACATTTTCTTTTTTTTTTAAAAAAAATTAAAGAATTTTTTTTCCTTTGTACTGAATATTCGCCATATTCTTTTGAAAATCTCTCTAAACTATTGGGGTTGTCTCTGTAATTATCGTCATTATNCGTACAAAAAATGTATACCAGAATATGAAAGCCTCTCTGTCTATTCAGGGGTCAAGTGGGTGAAAAGTAGTTAGCCCTATGGTGTTCTGCCCTTTTTCTTGGACAAAATGTATCATAATTGAATTGTTTGAAGCTTTCATTTGTGCGTTTATCAATGGCGGGGGCTTTCATTTATGAAATTTTGGCTTATACACTTGAAGGGAGTATGGTTGTTTTGACAGTTAGCCTATAGTGTGTATCAAATCTTGCTGTATCAATACCGGTGGAGGGAGTTTGTTGAGAATTTTAAATTGGATTTGGGAAGAAATTAGGTGGAAAGTAGATATGACTGCAACTTTCTTTTTGATTATGATCCTGTTCTGTTTGAATTGGTTGTGCGATTGAGAGGGATGAACTACACATTGACAGTTGGAGTTGGTTGTGCGATTGAGAGGGACAAACAACACTTTGACTCTTCATTTTGGGCATCTAACATGGAGAAGACTACGGTATCGATAGGAAAAAAAAATGTTATCGTATTTTTAAATTTTATAACTTTAATTGGTGTTTTTATAATTTTAATTATTACTTTTATATTTTTTGTGGATCATCTTAAAAAAATGAATAACTTTTGTGCGTGATTTATAATTTGCTTGTTTTTATAATTTTTATAGTAATTTTTTTTTCACTTTTGTAATAATTATTTTTATCCAAATAAATTATAAATGATGATATAGTACTGATTTTTTTTTTTATTTGTTTTGCATACACTACTCCATTCAACATATCTACTTTTAGGTGGAGACGGTGCCTATTTTTAACTTTATACATTTAATTGGTGGCATACAAATACAATGAGTTGATATTAATTGGATTTTATAATTAATTATGTCAAATGAGATTAGTATCATCTTTGCCTTTTCAAACCTACAATCCATAGGCACTCTGGATTCGAAATTCTTTGAATTTCTTTAATTTTATAACGGTTCATATGGTAAAAGATTAAGAAATGAAAAATAAAAATAAAAAATAGTTTTTTTTAATTACTCGAGTTTATTGTGTAAATAATTTTTTTTAATAATTGTAACTCCTCTCTTATGAATTATAACTTGACTTTTAAAAAATATAATTTAGCTTTAAAAATTATAATTTTGGTATCAATTTTAATCTGTCATGATCGATCATGTCATTTACAAGTTATAATTTATCCCTTAAAACAATTATAATTTAATTTTAAAAAATTATAATTTTCAATACCATACAACAACAGTGTACCATTGCCTTTCGGTGATTAATTATATTAATTACTTCACGAGTCTTGTCAATCCAACAATATTTGGAAAGCCCGATTTCGCGGCGGGTCAAATGATCCAGTCATTTGATGGATTATTCTTACCCTATTCAATGGCTCGTGCGAATCACATATAAAAAGATATATAAAATTCCATTGAAAAACATGTCTGTGTATCTGATACCTAACCCTTCCAACGACTTCTCTTGTAATTTGATAGAACTCAAAATAGGACTGATTTAGTAATTTATTCCAATGACAGCAAATCCTAACGTTTCGGGATTTTGATTTCTGAGGCTATTTTTAATTGAGGAAAAATATAAGCAATCATCATGGGGTACAGTTCTTTTGTACTACTGCTGAGGTGTTATTCCATTAAACGAGATCGTTTTCACGTGCAAAGCAACGTTGTTTAGGAGAATAGTACCCATGATGTGTAAAACAGCGCCGTTTAAGGAAACATTATTTTGATATTATGAATTATTTACCAATGTACAGCTATTTTAAACAAATTTATCATTTTAGGATAATTTTAAACTTATTTACTAATCTATGACATTTTTTAAAAACAAAGTCAACAAATCCGCTTTCATGTAGAAATGGAAGACAACAACTTCTCTTTCAAAAANCAACTTTCGTAGCTCAGATACTACGAAACAGAAAAAGAAAGTGAGAAGAACACGCTCACGTCAGAAATTATTCGTTGTTAGTGAAGGTTCATCTTTCTCTCTCTCTCCCTCTATATATATATAGTATTATAGCATTGTGAGTTCAGCATTTTGTCATATGTCCGTATCAATTTGCATATCTCCTAAATAGCCACGCTTGCAAAAGATGGGCTGGAGATGGGAAATGTTTTGAATTCTGTTGCTGGTGTTGGCATACAAAATGCGGGAAACCAAAAGTAGTTGATGACATTTTATATTGTAACTATAATGATGATTTATGGTCTACTTGGTTGGGCTTGCTTATTATGAGTGTTATTCTGTGCTTTTTTTTACCAACTGTAGTTTTTTTTTTCTTGCAATCAATTGACAGTTAAAAAAATTTAAAGTTCTATTCTCTTAATGAAGTAGTTTTTCTTCTCGCAGAACTCCAATTCCACGGTGTTTTGGATGAATTTTCTCCCAATATTACTAAATATTGGTGTCAGAGATACATTTTGTTCTCCAAATTTGATGATGGTATAAAAATGGATGAAGAAGGATGGTATTCTGTCACTCCAGAGCCTATTGCCAAACATCACGCATTCCGTTGTGGTAGTGGGGTTGTGGTTGATGGTTTCACCGGAGTTGGGGGAAATGCCATACAATTTGCAAAAAGGTGGGGATGATTATTGCTTCATTTTTTTTTTCTTCAATTCAATTATGCTTTACACTAGGGTAGAGTCCGAGGTTCCTTATGGGCTAATAATACTTACCTAAGCGATTGTTGCTGTTTTACCTAGAACTCCACTTAGAAATGGAAAGGAACCTCAAACTTGGGGAAGATTAGGCTTGTAATTGAAATCAATGGTTTTATCATTTTTCTCTTGTACATTTTTTTTGTACTGAGAGTTGATTAACTTTTACCATGTTGCAACCTACGCAGCATGGGTCTATGGGTATGTGGGACATACCGCTTGGGAGTTTAGCATGGAAACATTTACTCTCCTGAATTGTTGTGAATTTGTGGGTCCATATTCTAGATAGTAGCCAGATATGCATATCTAATAGTTTTATGCCCATATACAAGTTAATATGGGCTGAATAATGTTTTCTTTCGGTCAAGTAAAGCAGATTTCCTTAATTCATCATGTTTTGGAAGTTATAACACACTATTTTGGGAGTGAATGGCTTACTGGCAGTTATATTTTCGGCTGGAATAGTGAAAACTGTGTTGTTTGGCTTTATATCCACTAAAAGATCTACTTATTTTGACATGCGCAAAGAATTGTTGTTGTATTTCTTGACTCACACCAGATATGTTCTGCCTTTCTTTTGCAAATTTGCTATACTATTTCTGTTCTTAATTTTTTATTATTTATTCTTTCAGGAGTAAACAAGTTATTGCAATTGATATCGATCCAAAGAAGATTGACTATGCACAACATAATGCGGCCATCTATGGAGTTGATCACTGTATAGAGTTCATAAGGGGAGACTTTTTCCTTTTAGCGCCAAAGTTGAAGGTATAGAACTTTGGCAGAATAAGTGATTGTTTTTGTAACTCCGGAAGTTTCCTTCGACATAATAAGGGATTTGTTTTGTGATTTTGGAAGTTTCCTTTTACTCATTTGTTGATATTCTCTGGGGTATGCATTTTCAAGTGAACATGGAAATATACCACAGGACATCTGCAAATGAATCCTGTTTACCTAACGGAAAGAAATGTGAATTAGGGCTAATAGAAAAAAATTAAAATTTAGGGCTGCCTTTTTCTAGAGCTCTTTTTAGCAAATCTAATAACATAAAAAGAAATCTGTTGTCCAGATATTGGTACCGTTATATACAATATCTAGAGCTTATTTATGATTTATTGTTAAAGTACAGGATGCGTTCTGTCTTTTTGTTTGTTTGATTAGTGCTCTCCCGTCCTCTTCTAAAGTTTATTTAGAAAAATCTGATTAATGTTTCCTGTACTACAGGCAGACACAATCTTCTTGTCACCGCCTTGGGGTGGACCTGATTATGTCAAACGAAAGACATATGACATCAAGACCATGCTTAAGCCACATAACGGGTTCGGCTTCGGCTTCTTAGCTTTGGAAACTTAACTCCGCTGGTGCTTTTTTCCCTAAAGCAATAGTGCTAATGCTATGATTGTCCTTTGTACTTATGCAGACAATTTCTTTTCAATGTTGCAAAGGGAAGCACTTCCAGAATTGTCATGTTCCTCCCAAGGAATGTTGATATCAACCATTTGGCAGAGTTATCTTTATCTGTCAGTCCGCCATGGTCACTTGAGGTTCGTTGCTGATGTTTATGTTCCCCCACCTTCCCCTTCCCCCTTCTTCTCCCGCAAATGGTGTATATATAGGTTTGTTTAGTTGTTGCATTAGGGAGGGGATTAAAGAAACACATTGGATGAAAACTCTCTAATCTAGTTTTATACTAGATTTGGATGCTAAAATTACTTTTTACGTTAGATTATATAATTTTCACATACCATATATGAAATTTTGATACCATCTAGGCTGGTATGGTAATGCAACCGTAGTATATTATATCGTCATTTTACTATTTCATCCCCCACAAATGAAACAAACGTATTTGTATCCCCTTATTTATTTGGGTAAAATTCATTAAGACACCTTCACTTTTGGTCAAATAATATGACGATCCTCGATATTTTCAAAACGAACTTTACTTAATATGATTAACGACGCTAATACTATATAAGTTTATAGATATCTATAAAAATTCCTTGATAGTAATACTAACATTTGTAAGACAATTTTACTCTTTGGAAAAAATAGGACCAAAAAAAAAAAAAGAAAAAACAACCGGACAAAAAAAAAGAAGAAAAATATTTCTAAGACAATTTTATATATATGGAAAAAAAACTCTTTATTTTACATTGGCGCACCGTGCAAAATATTAGATTAAAGTAGATCGAGGGCATTTTGGCCAACTATATATTAAAACCATGGGATATATGATCTAACCAAACACAAAGGTGGACTTGATACCTATTAATTATTATCCAAATCTTGGCCCAACGTTTTTCAAACTCCAGATTGAAATGGATAGTTTTGTTGTTCCCTATTTAATCTTATGTTGATTTGTATGTATTAACTTAGTTTTAACTTCAACCCTTCAAAGGTCATAGTTCTGGATCTACCCGTTTATCTGGCTTCCCTGTTTTTATTCTCTGCTAAGCATATCAATTCAAGGTGATGGTCTCAATTCTGGATTCAGCCCTTAATCTGGTTCCTCCACTTTATCTCTTTGCTTTTTTATGTTGTAATAGCAGATTATCTTCTAATTCAAGGTCATGGTCTCAGGTGGAGAAGAACTTCCTCAATGGCAAGTTGAAGGCAATTACTGCCTACTTTAGCGAAGCGTCAGTGTAGAAGGCGAAAGGTCAAGATTTTGTTCATATTGACTGGCTATTGAGGTAAAACTACAAGAAGTGCCGTTTCTTTGCCGGGCCTGGGTTCTGTACATTGTATTACAAGATTTTGTGTGTGTGTGTGTGAAAGAGAGAGACAGATGTATATTGTGGAATGGCAGCCCTGCCTCTAATGTTAAAAATACACTTTGTACTTTTGTTACTTTTGTATGGACCAACGTACAAAAAATGTATACCAGAATATGAAAGCCTCTCTGTCTATTCAGGGGTCAAGTGGGTGAAAAGTAGTTAGCCCTATGGTGTTCTGCCCTTTTTCTTGGACAAAATGTATCATAATTGAATTGTTTGAAGCTTTCATTTGTGCGTTTATCAATGGCGGGGGCTTTCATTTATGAAATTTTGGCTTATACACTTGAAGGGAGTATGGTTGTTTTGACAGTTAGCCTATAGTGTGTATCAAATCTTGCTGTATCAACACCGGTGGAGGGAGTTTGTTGAGAATTTTAAATTGGATTTGGGAAGAAATTAGGTGGAAAGTAGATATGACTGCAACTTTCTTTTTGATTATGATCCTGTTCTGTTTGAATTGGTTGTGCGATTGAGAGGGATGAACTACACATTGACAGTTGGAGTTGGTTGTGCGATTGAGAGGGACAAACAACACTTTGACTCTTCATTTTGGGCATCTAACATGGAGAAGACTACGGTATCGATAGGAAAAAAAAATGTTATCGTATTTTTAAATTTTATAACTTTAATTGGTGTTTTTATAATTTTAATTATTACTTTTATATTTTTTGTGGATCATCTTAAAAAAATGAATAACTTTTGTGCGTGATTTATAATTTGCTTGTTTTTATAATTTTTATAGTAATTTTTTTTTCACTTTTGTAATAATTATTTTTATCCAAATAAATTATAAATGATGATATAGTACTGATTTTTTTTTTTATTTGTTTTGCATACACTACTCCATTCAACATATCTACTTTTAGGTGGAGACGGTGATGGAACCCTATTTTTAACTTTATACATTTAATTGGTGGCATACAAATACAATGAGTTGATATTAATTGGATTTTATAATTAATTATGTCAAATGAGATTAGTATCATCTTTGCCTTTTCAAACCTACAATCCATAGGCACTCTGGATTCGAAATTCTTTGAATTTCTTTAATTTTATAACGGTTCATATGGTAAAAGATTAAGAAATGAAAAATAAAAATAAAAAATAGTTTTTTTTAATTACTCGAGTTTATTGTGTAAATAATTTTTTTTAATAATTATAACTCCTCTCTTATGAATTATAACTTGACTTTTAAAAAATATAATTTAGCTTTAAAAATTATAATTTTGGTATCAATTTTAATCTGTCATGATCGATCATGTCATTTACAAGTTATAATTTATCCCTTAAAACAATTATAATTTAATTTTAAAAAATTATAATTTTCAATACCATACAACAACAGTGTACCATTGCCTTTCGGTGATTAATTATATTAATTACTTCACGAGTCTTGTCAATCCAACAATATTTGGAAAGCCCGATTTCGCGGCGGGTCAAATGATCCAGTCATTTGATGGATTATTCTTACCCTATTCAATGGCTCGTGCGAATCACATATAAAAAGATATATAAAATTCCATTGAAAAACATGTCTGTGTATCTGATACCTAACCCTTCCAACGACTTCTCTTGTAATTTGATAGAACTCAAAATAGGACTGATTTAGTAATTTATTCCAATGACAGCAAATCCTAACGTTTCGGGATTTTGATTTCTGAGGCTATTTTAAATTGAGGAAAAATATAAGCAATCATCATGGGGTACAGTTCTTTTGTACTACTGCTGAGGTGTTATTCCATTAAACGAGATCGTTTTCACGTGCAAAGCAACGTTGTTTAGGAGAATAGTACCCATGATGTGTAAAACAGCGCCGTTTAAGGAAACATTATTTTGATATTATGAATTATTTACCAATGTACAGCTATTTTAAACAAATTTATCATTTTAGGATAATTTTAAACTTATTTACTAATCTATGACATTTTTTAAAAACAAAGTCAACAAATCCGCTTTCATGTAGAAATGGAAGACAACAACTTCTCTTTCAAAAGGTTTTTATTAGAATTTTAAAAAGCAAATTTATTGATTATGAGATTTTAATAAGAGGCGGCTTTCCCCCCTTAGTTTTGAGTAAGCAGAACCATTCTGTTTTATTTTTTTTCCACATTCTTATCGGGTGATTCATGAATTTGTCTATAATTTTTTCAATTGATATCACGATATAGAAATATCTCTTTATTTCTTCATCGTAAGTTCTCATTTCAAAAAGTGTCGTAATAAGTGAAAGTCAAATTTGTTGACTCCACTTTCGACATAAAAATGGATTTGTTGATTTTGTTTTTAAAAAATATTATAAATAAATTCAAAATTATCATAGATTAATAAATTTGTTAAAAAATATCTGTACATTTGTAAAGAATTCCCGATACTGTAATACTGCAAAGGATTCATGCCTTGTTTATTTATTTATTTTTATCGCAAGAGAACTACAACACTTTTATTTAAAAAATAAAAGTAATACAGTCCCTATATAACCTTCACACACATACTCAAAGACTATCCGATGAGATATCCCAGCCCTTACTTCAAGATGGTTTGTTTTGCAAGGCTGTGTAACTACANTATGGGCTAATAATACTTACCTAAGCGATTGTTGCTGTTTTACCTAGAACTCCACTTAGAAATGGAAAGGAACCTCAAACTTGGGGAAGATTAGGCTTGTAATTGAAATCAATGGTTTTATCATTTTTCTCTTGTACATTTTTTTTGTACTGAGAGTTGATTAACTTTTACCATGTTGCAACCTACGCAGCATGGGTCTATGGGTATGTGGGACATACCACTTGGGAGTTTATCATGGAAACATTTACTCTCCTGAATTGTTGTGAATTTGTGGGTCCATATTCTAGATAGTTGCCAGATATGCATATCTAATAGTTATATGCCCATATACAAGTTAATATGGGCTGAATAATGTTTTCTTTCGGTCAAGTAAAGNGTCTATGGGTATGTGGGACATACCGCTTGGGAGTTTAGCATGGAAACATTTACTCTCCTGAATTGTTGTGAATTTGTGGGTCCATATTCTAGATAGTAGCCAGATATGCATATCTAATAGTTTTATGCCCATATACAAGTTAATATGGGCTGAATAATGTTTTCTTTCGGTCAAGTAAAGNCTTTTTAACTATTACCATTTGTATGTACACTGCAGCTGTCATTTACTTCTTCTCAGACAAGATTATTATTGAGATTCACGAAGACAACCTTTTTTTTTTCTTCAATAATATTATTCAGATATAATTTATTTAGTTAATTTATCATAATTGTTAGATTGATAATGAATTTTAATAAATATTAAATTTATCTGGTTATAAATAATTGGATTAATAAANAGCAGATTTCCTTAATTCATCATGTTTTGGAAGTTATAACACACTATTTTGGGAGTGAATGGCTTACTGGCAGTTATATTTTCGGCTGGAATAGTGAAAACTGTGTTGTTTGGCTTTATATCCACTAAAAGATCTACTTATTTTGACATGCGCAAAGAATTGTTGTTGTATTTCTTGACTCACACCAGATATGTTCTGCCTTTCTTTTGCAAATTTGCTATACTNCTTGCAATCAATTGACAGTTAAAAAAATTTAAAGTTCTATTCTCTTAATGAAGTAGTTTTTCTTCTCGCAGAACTCCAATTCCACGGTGTTTTGGATGAATTTTCTCCCAATATTACTAAATATTGGTGTCAGAGATACATTTTGTTCTCCAAATTTGATGATGGTATAAAAATGGATGAAGAAGGATGGTATTCTGTCACTCCAGAGCCTATTGCCAAACATCACGCATTCCGTTGTGGTAGTGGGGTTGTGGTTGATGGTTTCACCGGAGTTGGGGGAAATGCCATACAATTTGCAAAAAGGTGGGGATGATTATTGCTTCATTTTTTTTTTCTTCAATTCAATTATGCTTTACACTAGGGTAGAGTCCGAGGTTCCTTATGGGCTAATAATACTTACCTAAGCGATTGTTGCTGTTTTACCTAGAACTCCACTTAGAAATGGAAAGGAACCTCAAACTTGGGGAAGATTAGGCTTGTAATTGAAATCAATGGTTTTATCATTTTTCTCTTGTACATTTTTTTTGTACTGAGAGTTGATTAACTTTTACCATGTTGCAACCTACGCAGCATGGGTCTATGGGTATGTGGGACATACCGCTTGGGAGTTTAGCATGGAAACATTTACTCTCCTGAATTGTTGTGAATTTGTGGGTCCATATTCTAGATAGTAGCCAGATATGCATATCTAATAGTTTTATGCCCATATACAAGTTAATATGGGCTGAATAATGTTTTCTTTCGGTCAAGTAAAGCAGATTTCCTTAATTCATCATGTTTTGGAAGTTATAACACACTATTTTGGGAGTGAATGGCTTACTGGCAGTTATATTTTCGGCTGGAATAGTGAAAACTGTGTTGTTTGGCTTTACATCCACTAAAAGATCTACTTATTTTGACATGCGCAAAGAATTGTTGTTGTATTTCTTGACTCACACCAGATATGTTCTGCCTTTCTTTTGCAAATTTGCTATACTATNCATCCACTAAAAGATCTACTTATTTTGACATGCGCAAAGAATTGTTGTTGCATTTCTTGACTCACACCAGATATGTTCTGCCTTTCTTTTGCAAATTTGCTATACTATTTCTGTTCTTAATTTTTTATTATTTATTCTTTCAGGAGTAAACAAGTTATTGCAATTGATATCGATCCAAAGAAGATCGACTATGCACAACATAATGCGGCCATCTATGGAGTTGATCACTGTATAGAGTTCATAAGGGGAGACTTTTTCCTTTTAGCGCCAAAGTTGAAGGTATAGAACTTTGGCAGAATAAGTGATTGTTTTTGTAACTCCGGAAGTTTCCTTCGACATAATAAGGGATTTGTTTTGTGATTTTGGAAGTTTCCTTTTACTCATTTGTTGATATTCTCTGGGGTATGCATTTTCAAGTGAACATGGAAATATACCACAGGACATCTGCAAATGAATCCTGTTTACCTAACGGAAAGAAATGTGAATTAGGGCTAATAGAAAAAAATTAAAATTTAGGGCTGCCTTTTTCTAGAGCTCTTTTTAGCAAATCTAATAACATAAAAAGAAATCTGTTGTCCAGATATTGGTACCGTTATATACAATATCTAGAGCTTATTTATGATTTATTGTTAAAGTACAGGATGCGTTCTGTCTTTTTGTTTGTTTGATTAGTGCTCTCCGGTCCTCTTCTAAAGTTTATTTAGAAAAATCTGATTAATGTTTCCTGTACTACAGGCAGACACAATCTTCTTGTCACCGCCTTGGGGTGGACCTGATTATGTCAAACGAAAGACATATGACATCAAGACCATGCTTAAGCCACATAACGGGTTCGGCTTCGGCTTCTTAGCTTTGGAAACTTAACTCCGCTGGTGCTTTTTTCCCTAAAGCAATAGTGCTAATGCTATGATTGTCCTTTGTACTTATGCAGACAATTTCTTTTCAATGTTGCAAAGGGAAGCACTTCCAGAATTGTCATGTTCCTCCCAAGGAATGTTGATATCAACCATTTGGCAGAGTTATCTTTATCTGTCAGTCCGCCATGGTCACTTGAGGTTCGTTGCTGATGTTTATGTTCCCCCACCTTCCCCTTCCCCCTTCTTCTCCCGCAAATGGTGTATATATAGGTTTGTTTAGTTGTTGCATTAGGGAGGGGATTAAAGAAACACATTGGATGAAAACTCTCTAATCTAGTTTTATACTAGATTTGGATGCTAAAATTACTTTTTACGTTAGATTATATAATTTTCACATACCATATATGAAATTTTGATACCATCTAGGCTGGTATGGTAATGCAACCGTAGTATATTATATCGTCATTTTACTATTTCATCCCCCACAAATGAAACAAACGTATTTGTATCCCCTTATTTATTTGGGTAAAATTCATTAAGACACCTTCACTTTTGGTCAAATAATATAACGATCCTTGATATTTTCAAAACGAACTGTACTTAATATGATTAACGACGCTAATACTATATAAGTTTATAGATATCTATAAAAATTCCTTGATAGTAATACTAACATTTGTAAGACAATTTTACTCTTTGGAAAAAATAGGACCCAAAAAAAAAAAAAGAAAAAACAACCGGACAAAAAAAAAGAAGAAAAATATTTCTAAGACAATTTTATATATATGGAAAAAAAACTCTTTATTTTACATTGGCGCACCGTGCAAAATATTAGATTAAAGTAGATCGAGGGCATTTTGGCCAACTATATATTAAAACCATGGGATATATGATCTAACCAAACACAAAGGTGGACTTGATACCTATTAATTATTATCCAAATCTTGGCCCAACGTTTTTCAAACTCCAGATTGAAATGGATAGTTTTGTTGTTCCCTATTTAATCTTATGTTGATTTGTATGTATTAACTTAGTTTTAACTTCAACCCTTCAAAGGTCATAGTTCTGGATCTACCCGTTTATCTGGCTTCCCTGTTTTTATTCTCTGCTAAGCATATCAATTCAAGGTGATGGTCTCAATTCTGGATTCAGCCCTTAATCTTGTTCCTCCACTTTATCTCTTTGCTTTTTTATGTTGTAATAGCAGATTATCTTCTAATTCAAGGTCATGGTCTCAGGTGGAGAAGAACTACCTCAATGGCAAGTTGAAGGCAATTACTGCCTACTTTAGCGAAGCGTCAGTGTAGAAGGCGAAAGGTCAAGATTTTGTTCATATTGACTGGCTATTGAGGTAAAACTACAAGAAGTGCCGTTTCTTTGCCGGGCCTGGGTTCTGTACATTGTATTACAAGATTTTGTGTGTGTGTGTGTGAAAGAGAGAGACAGATGTATATTGTGGAATGGCAGCCCTGCCTCTAATGTTAAAAATACACTTTGTACTTTTGTTACTTTTGTATGGACCAATGTACAAAAAATGTATACCAGAATATGAAAGCCTCTGTGTCTATTCAGGGGTCAAGTGGGTGAAAAGTAGTTAGCCCTCTGGTGTTCTGCCCTTTTTCTTGGACAAAATGTATCATAATTGAATTGTTTGAAGCTTTCATTTGTGCGTTTATCAATGGCGGGGGCTTTCATTTATGAAATTTTGGCTTATACACTTGAAGGGAGTATGGTTGTTTTGACAGTTAGCCTATAGTGTGTATCAAATCTTGCTGTATCAACACCGGTGGAGGGAGTTTGTTGAGAATTTTAAATTGGATTTGAGAAGAAATTAGGTGGAAAGTAGATATGACTGCAACTTTCTTTTTGATTATGATCCTGTTCTGTTTGAATTGGTTGTGCGATTGAGAGGGATGAACTACACATTGACAGTTGGAGTTGGTTGTGCGATTGAGAGGGACAAACAACACTTTGACTCTTCATTTTGGGCATCTAACATGGAGAAGACTACGGTATCGATAGGAAAAAAAAATGTTATCGTATTTTTAAATTTTATAACTTTAATTGGTGTTTTTATAATTTTAATTATTACTTTTATATTTTTTGTGGATCATCTTAAAAAAATGAATAACTTTTGTGCGTGATTTATAATTTGCTTGTTTTTATAATTTTTATAGTAATTTTTTTTTCACTTTTGTAATAATTATTTTTATCCAAATAAATTATAAATGATGATATAGTACTGATTTTTTTTTTTATTTGTTTTGCATACACTACTCCATTCAACATATCTACTTTTAGGTGGAGACGGTGATGGAACCCTATTTTTAACTTTATACATTTAATTGGTGGCATACAAATACAATGAGTTGAAATTAATTGGATTTTATAATTAATTATGTCAAATGAGATTAGTATCATCTTTACCTTTTCAAACCTACAATCCATAGGCACTCTGGATTCGAAATTCTTTGAATTTCTTTAATTTTATAACGGTTCATATGGTAAAAGATTAAGAAATGAAAAATAAAAATAAAAAATAGTTTTTTTTAATTACTCGAGTTTATTGTGTAAATAATTTTTTTTAATAATTGTAACTCCTCTCTTATGAGTTATAACTTGACTTTTAAAAAATTTAATTTAGCTTTAAAAATTATAATTTTGGTATCAATTTTAATCTGTCATGATCGATCATGTTATCCCTTAAAACAATTATAATTTAATTTTAAAAATTTATAATTTTCAATACCATACAAAAAACGGTGTACCATTGCCTTTCGGTGATTAATTATATTAATTACTTCACGAGTCTTGTCAATCCAACAATATTTGGAAAGCCCGATTTCGCGGCGGGTCAAATGATCCAGTCATTTGATGGATTATTCTTACCCTATTCAATGGCTCGTGCGAATCACATATAAAAAGATATATAAAATTCCATTGAAAAACATGTCTGTGTATCTGATACCTAACCCTTCCAACGACTTCTCTTGTAATTTGATAGAACTCAAAATAGGACTGATTTAGTAATTTATTCCAATGACAGCAAATCCTAACGTTTCGGGATTTTGATTTCTAAGGCTATTTTAAATTGAGGAAAAATATAAGCAATCATCATGGGGTACAGTTCTTTTGTACTACTGCTGAGGTGTTATTCCATTAAACGAGATCGTTTTCACGTGCAAAGCAACGTTGTTTAGGAGAATAGTACCCATGATGTGTAAAACAGCGCCGTTTAAGGAAACATTATTTTGATATTATGAATTATTTACCAATGTACAGCTATTTTAAACAAATTTATCATTTTAGGATAATTTTAAACTTATTTACTAATCTATGACATTTTTTAAAAACAAAGTCAACAAATCCGCTTTCATGTAGAAATGGAAGACAACAACTTCTCTTTCAAAAAAATTTTATTAGAATTTTAAAAAACAAATTTATTGATTATGAGATTTTAATAAGAGGCGGCTTTCCCCCTCTTAGTTTTGAGTAAGCAGAACCATTCTGTTTTAGTTTTTTCCACATTCTTATCGGGTGATTCATGAATTTGTCTATAATTTTTTCAACTGATATTAGGATATAGAAAGATCTCTTTATTTCTTCATCGTAAGTTCTCCTTTCAAAAAGTGTCGTAATAAGTGAAAGTAAAATTTGTTGACTCCACTTTCGACATAAAAATGGATTTGTTGACTTTGTTTTTAAAAAATATTATAAATAAATTCAAAATTATCATAGATTAATAAATTTGTTAAAAAATATCTGTACATTTGTAAAAAATTCCCGATACTGTAATACTGCAAAGGATTCATGCCTTCCTTGTTTATTTATTTATTTTTATCGCAAGAGAACTACAACACTTTTATTTAAAAAATAAAAGTAAGACAATCTCTATATAACCTTCGCATACATACTTAAAGACTATCCGAGTTGAGATATCCCAGCCCTTACTTCAAGATGGTTTGTTTTGCAAGGCTGTGTAACTACAAAATGCAAACTGACAACAATAGTTAATGCTTCAGGTGCAACCTGGAGCAGACAAAGGTTTTGCTCTTACCAAAACATAAGTCCATCGATTGTGTTCTGTTTCATTTTTTAACTATTACCATTTGTATGTACACTGCAGCTCTCATTTACTTCTTCTCAGACAAGATTATTATATAGGTTTCTCTCTTTCCAACTGGAGATTCACGAAGACAACCTTTTTTTTTTCTTCAATAATATTATTCAGATATAATTTATTTAGTTAATTTATCATAATTGTTAGATTGATAATGAATTTTAATAAATATTAAATTTATCTGGTTATAAATAATTGGATTAATAAATTAAATTTAAGTACTATTGCAATTTTAAAAAAAAAATTAATTACACCAGGTGAGCCGGTTTGGCCGGCATGAATCCAGGCTGTCGTGCTACAGCTGACTGGGACACAGTCTGAGCCCAGCTCGTTGCACGAGGCTTTATTTATTGCTTTCCTTCCTCTCACATCACAAGTCAATTGCCAATTAAAGTGGATCCAAATGGAAAGGAATTGGACATTGTCATAGCCTTATGCTATTAAACTCTCAATTCCTGTGGTTCAAAAAAACAAAAAAAAAACTCTCAATTCCCTACCCTTTTTTATTATTAGAAATAATCATGCCTAAAAATATTTTTACATTATAATTTATAGTTAATTAGTCTAGGGTCTGTGTAAATTAATTTTCGTCCTACCTAATTTTTAATATAAAAAAAGGTTCTCGGATTTTTTAAAAAATTTGTATGTAATCCCCGTGTTAGTGCGAAAATTAAGAGATTGACTAGTTACTGATTTTCATTACCTATTTTACTCTTATCACATGATTTTAGCCTAAATATAGTTATTATTATTTTATTTTTTTTGCATTTGTTATTGAGTTTTTTGCAATGTTGTATATCAGTTTTGAATTTCAAACTTATGGACTAAGCAATTTGGATATTATGATGATGTTTGACGATCTGTGCCTTAGTGTACTTGTCTTACAATCTATGTTTATGAAGAAGAAAATACATTTATCAATCTGTGTTTATGGAAAGAAGATATATTAATGATCTGTATTTNGAATAAGTGATTGTTTTTGTAACTCCGGAAGTTTCCTTCGACATAATAAGGGATTTGTTTTGTGATTTTGGAAGTTTCCTTTTACTCATTTGTTGATATTCTCTGGGGTATGCATTTTCAAGTGAACATGGAAATATACCACAGGACATCTGCAAATGAATCCTGTTTACCTAACGGAAAGAAATGTGAATTAGGGCTAATAGAAAAAAATTAAAATTTAGGGCTGCCTTTTTCTAGAGCTCTTTTTAGCAAATCTAATAACATAAAAAGAAATCTGTTGTCCAGATATTGGTACCGTTATATACAATATCTAGAGCTTATTTATGATTTATTGTTAAAGTACAGGATGCGTTCTGTCTTTTTGTTTGTTTGATTAGTGCTCTCCCGTCCTCTTCTAAAGTTTATTTAGAAAAATCTGATTAATGTTTCCTGTACTACAGGCAGACACAATCTTCTTGTCACCGCCTTGGGGTGGACCTGATTATGTCAAACGAAAGACATATGACATCAAGACCATGCTTAAGCCACATAACGGGTTCGGCTTCGGCTTCTTAGCTTTGGAAACTTAACTCCGCTGGTGCTTTTTTCCCTAAAGCAATAGTGCTAATGCTATGTTTGTCCTTTGTACTTATGCAGACAATTTCTTTTCAATGTTGCAAAGGGAAGCACTTCCAGAATTGTCATGTTCCTCCCAAGGAATGTTGATATCAACCATTTGGCAGAGTTATCTTTATCTGTCAGTCCGCCATGGTCACTTGAGGTTCGTTGCTGATGTTTATGTTCCCCCACCTTCCCCTTCCCCCTTCTTCTCCCGCAAATGGTGTATATATAGGTTTGTTTAGTTGTTGCATTAGGGAGGGGATTAAAGAAACACATTGGATGAAAACTCTCTAATCTAGTTTTATACTAGATTTGGATGCTAAAATTACTTTTTACGTTAGATTATATAATTTTCACATACCATATATGAAATTTTGATACCATCTAGGCTGGTATGGTAATGCAACCGTAGTATATTATATCGTCATTTTACTATTTCATCCCCCACAAATGAAACAAACGTATTTGTATCCCCTTATTTATTTGGGTAAAATTCATTAAGACACCTTCACTTTTGGTCAAATAATATGACGATCCTCGATATTTTCAAAACGAACTTTACTTAATATGATTAACGACGCTAATACTATATAAGTTTATAGATATCTATAAAAATTCCTTGATAGTAATACTAACATTTGTAAGACAATTTTACTCTTTGGAAAAAATAGGACCCAAAAAAAAAAAAAGAAAAAACAACCGGACAAAAAAAAAGAAGAAAAATATTTCTAAGACAATTTTATATATATGGAAAAAAAACTCTTTATTTTACATTGGTGCACCGTGCAAAATATTAGATTAAAGTAGATCGAGGGCATTTTGGCCAACTATATATTAAAACCATGGGATATATGATCTAACCAAACACAAAGGTGGACTTGATACCTATTAATTATTATCCAAATCTTGGCCCAACGTTTTTCAAACTCCAGATTGAAATGGATAGTTTTGTTGTTCCCTATTTAATCTTATGTTGATTTGTATGTATTAACTTAGTTTTAACTTCAACCCTTCAAAGGTCATAGTTCTGGATCTACCCGTTTATCTGGCTTCCCTATTTTTATTCTCTGCTAAGCATATCAATTCAAGGTGATGGTCTCAATTCTGGATTCAGCCCTTAATCTTGTTCCTCCACTTTATCTCTTTGCTTTTTTATGTTGTAATAGCAGATTATCTTCTAATTCAAGGTCATGGTCTCAGGTGGAGAAGAACTACCTCAATGGCAAGTTGAAGGCAATTACTGCCTACTTTAGCGAAGCGTCAGTGTAGAAGGCGAAAGGTCAAGATTTTGTTCATATTGACTGGCTATTGAGGTAAAACTACAAGAAGTGCCGTTTCTTTGCCGGGCCTGGGTTCTGTACATTGTATTACAAGATTTTGTGTGTGTGTGTGTGAAAGAGAGAGACAGATGTATATTGTGGAATGGCAGCCCTGCCTCTAATGTTAAAAATACACTTTGTACTTTTGTTACTTTTGTATGGACCAACGTACAAAAAATGTATACCAGAATATGAAAGCCTCTGTGTCTATTCAGGGGTCAAGTGGGTGAAAAGTAGTTAGCCCTATGGTGTTCTGCCCTTTTTCTTGGACAAAATGTATCATAATTGAATTGTTTGAAGCTTTCATTTGTGCGTTTATCAATGGCGGGGGCTTTCATTTATGAAATTTTGGCTTATACCCTTGAAGGGAGTATGGTTGTTTTGACAGTTAGCCTATAGTGTGTATCAAATCTTGCTGTATCAACACCGGTGGAGGGAGTTTGTTGAGAATTTTAAATTGGATTTGAGAAGAAATTAGGTGGAAAGTAGATATGACTGCAACTTTCTTTTTGATTATGATCCTGTTCTGTTTGAATTGGTTGTGCGATTGAGAGGGATGAACTACACATTGACAGTTGGAGTTGGTTGTGCGATTGAGAGGGACAAACAACACTTTGACTCTTCATTTTGGGCATCTAACATGGAGAAGACTACGGTATCGATAGGAAAAAAAAATGTTATCGTATTTTTAAATTTTATAACTTTAATTGGTGTTTTTATAATTTTAATTATTACTTTTATATTTTTTGTGGATCATCTTAAAAAAATGAATAACTTTTGTGCGTGATTTATAATTTGCTTGTTTTTATAATTTTTATAGTAATTTTTTTTTCACTTTTGTAATAATTATTTTTATCCAAATAAATTATAAATGATGATATAGTACTGATTTTTTTTTTATTTGTTTTGCATACACTACTCCATTCAACATATCTACTTTTAGGTGGAGACGGTGCCTATTTTTAACTTTATACATTTAATTGGTGGCATACAAATACAATGAGTTGATATTAATTGGATTTTATAATTAATTATGTCAAATGAGATTAGTATCATCTTTGCCTTTTCAAACCTACAATCCATAGGCACTCTGGATTCGAAATTCTTTGAATTTCTTTAATTTTATAACGGTTCATATGGTAAAAGATTAAGAAATGAAAAATAAAAATAAAAAATAGTTTTTTTTAATTACTCGAGTTTATTGTGTAAATAATTTTTTTTAATAATTGTAACTCCTCTCTTATGAGTTATAACTTGACTTTTAAAAAATTTAATTTAGCTTTAAAAATTATAATTTTGGTATCAATTTTAATCTGTCATGATCGATCATGTTATCCCTTAAAACAATTATAATTTAATTTTAAAAATTTATAATTTTCAATACCATACAAAAAACGGTGTACCATTGCCTTTCGGTGATTAATTATATTAATTACTTCACGAGTCTTGTCAATCCAACAATATTTGGAAAGCCCGATTTCGCGGCGGGTCAAATGATCCAGTCATTTGATGGATTATTCTTACCCTATTCAATGGCTCGTGCGAATCACATATAAAAAGATATATAAAATTCCATTGAAAAACATGTCTGTGTATCTGATACCTAACCCTTCCAACGACTTCTCTTGTAATTTGATAGAACTCAAAATAGGACTGATTTAGTAATTTATTCCAATGACAGCAAATCCTAACGTTTCGGGATTTTGATTTCTAAGGCTATTTTAAATTGAGGAAAAATATAAGCAATCATCATGGGGTACAGTTCTTTTGTACTACTGCTGAGGTGTTATTCCATTAAACGAGATCGTTTTCACGTGCAAAGCAACGTTGTTTAGGAGAATAGTACCCATGATGTGTAAAACAGCGCCGTTTAAGGAAACATTATTTTGATATTATGAATTATTTACCAATGTACAGCTATTTTAAACAAATTTATCATTTTAGGATAATTTTAAACTTATTTACTAATCTATGACATTTTTTAAAAACAAAGTCAACAAATCCGCTTTCATGTAGAAATGGAAGACAACAACTTCTCTTTCAAAAAAATTTTATTAGAATTTTAAAAAACAAATTTATTGATTATGAGATTTTAATAAGAGGCGGCTTTCCCCCTCTTAGTTTTGAGTAAGCAGAACCATTCTGTTTTAGTTTTTTCCACATTCTTATCGGGTGATTCATGAATTTGTCTATAATTTTTTCAACTGATATTAGGATATAGAAAGATCTCTTTATTTCTTCATCGTAAGTTCTCCTTTCAAAAAGTGTCGTAATAAGTGAAAGTAAAATTTGTTGACTCCACTTTCGACATAAAAATGGATTTGTTGACTTTGTTTTTAAAAAATATTATAAATAAATTCAAAATTATCATAGATTAATAAATTTGTTAAAAAATATCTGTACATTTGTAAAAAATTCCCGATACTGTAATACTGCAAAGGATTCATGCCTTCCTTGTTTATTTATTTATTTTTATCGCAAGAGAACTACAACACTTTTATTTAAAAAATAAAAGTAAGACAATCTCTATATAACCTTCGCATACATACTTAAAGACTATCCGAGTTGAGATATCCCAGCCCTTACTTCAAGATGGTTTGTTTTGCAAGGCTGTGTAACTACAAAATGCAAACTGACAACAATAGTTAATGCTTCAGGTGCAACCTGGAGCAGACAAAGGTTTTGCTCTTACCAAAACATAAGTCCATCGATTGTGTTCTGTTTCATTTTTTAACTATTACCATTTGTATGTACACTGCAGCTCTCATTTACTTCTTCTCAGACAAGATTATTATATAGGTTTCTCTCTTTCCAACTGGAGATTCACGAAGACAACCTTTTTTTTTTCTTCAATAATATTATTCAGATATAATTTATTTAGTTAATTTATCATAATTGTTAGATTGATAATGAATTTTAATAAATATTAAATTTATCTGGTTATAAATAATTGGATTAATAAATTAAATTTAAGTACTATTGCAATTTTAAAAAAAAAATTAATTACACCAGGTGAGCCGGTTTGGCCGGCATGAATCCAGGCTGTCGTGCTACAGCTGACTGGGACACAGTCTGAGCCCAGCTCGTTGCACGAGGCTTTATTTATTGCTTTCCTTCCTCTCACATCACAAGTCAATTGCCAATTAAAGTGGATCCAAATGGAAAGGAATTGGACATTGTCATAGCCTTATGCTATTAAACTCTCAATTCCTGTGGTTCAAAAAAACAAAAAAAAAACTCTCAATTCCCTACCCTTTTTTATTATTAGAAATAATCATGCCTAAAAATATTTTTACATTATAATTTATAGTTAATTAGTCTAGGGTCTGTGTAAATTAATTTTCGTCCTACCTAATTTTTAATATAAAAAAAGGTTCTCGGATTTTTTAAAAAATTTGTATGTAATCCCCGTGTTAGTGCGAAAATTAAGAGATTGACTAGTTACTGATTTTCATTACCTATTTTACTCTTATCACATGATTTTAGCCTAAATATAGTTATTATTATTTTATTTTTTTTGCATTTGTTATTGAGTTTTTTGCAATGTTGTATATCAGTTTTGAATTTCAAACTTATGGACTAAGCAATTTGGATATTATGATGATGTTTGACGATCTGTGCCTTAGTGTACTTGTCTTACAATCTATGTTTATGAAGAAGAAAATACATTTATCAATCTGTGTTTATGGAAAAAAGATATATTAATGATCTGTATTTTAATGTACCTATCTGACGATCTATGTTTATGGAGAAAAAAGAATATTATCGATCTATATTTATGAAGAAGAAGGTACATTAACGATTTGTATTTTAATATACTTGTTTCAGTTTGACAATCTATGTTTATGGAGAAGAAGGTACATTAACAATTTATGTTTTAGTGTAACTGTCTGACAATTATACATACCTGTTATTATTTATGTTTTTTTATTGCCCACCTGTTATTTGTTGGCTCAAATGTATGTATTCATTGCGTACCTAATTTTTTTAGTGTTCATGTCTTACGATTTGTGTTTATTGAGCAAAATGTATAATATAATGATGTNAAAAAATTAAGGCTGCCTTTTTCTAGAGCTCTTTTTAGCAAATCTAATAACATAAAAAGAAATCTGTNTTAAAATTTAGGGCTGCCTTTTTCTAGAGCTCTTTTTAGCAAATCTAATAACATAAAAAGAAATCTGTTGTCCAGATATTGGTACCGTTATATACAATATCTAGAGCTTATTTATGATTTATTGTTAAAGTACAGGATGCGTTCTGTCTTTTTGTTTGTTTGATTAGTGCTCTCCGGTCCTCTTCTAAAGTTTATTTAGAAAAATCTGATTAATGTTTCCTGTACTACAGGCAGACACAATCTTCTTGTCACCGCCTTGGGGTGGACCTGATTATGTCAAACGAAAGACATATGACATCAAGACCATGCTTAAGCCACATAACGGGTTCGGCTTCGGCTTCTTAGCTTTGGAAACTTAACTCCGCTGGTGCTTTTTTCCCTAAAGCAATAGTGCTAATGCTATGATTGTCCTTTGTACTTATGCAGACAATTTCTTTTCAATGTTGCAAAGGGAAGCACTTCCAGAATTGTCATGTTCCTCCCAAGGAATGTTGATATCAACCATTTGGCAGAGTTATCTTTATCTGTCAGTCCGCCATGGTCACTTGAGGTTCGTTGCTGATGTTTATGTTCCCCCACCTTCCCCTTCCCCCTTCTTCTCCCGCAAATGGTGTATATATAGGTTTGTTTAGTTGTTGCATTAGGGAGGGGATTAAAGAAACACATTGGATGAAAACTCTCTAATCTAGTTTTATACTAGATTTGGATGCTAAAATTACTTTTTACGTTAGATTATATAATTTTCACATACCATATATGAAATTTTGATACCATCTAGGCTGGTATGGTAATGCAACC